AGAAACCCTGTTCAACCGTACAGCACAATTGCATTGGAGCAACACAAAATGGTTATCAAGTAATCAGTAAGTCCAGTCATACACACACACAGACACATACATATGTCATTGACAGTCCTACCCCTGCTAAACTTAGATTATTTAATAACCCTCGGGGTGTCCTAATATAACCTTACAGTTGAACAGTTTCTGGGATTTGACCAAGGGGACTTTTATCTGAGTAATGACGCACTGCACTTTGCGTCACATGGTGTTAATCGCTGCTCACTGTGCAATCCTATTGCGGTTCAATTTAACTCACTGTCTTGATTAAAAGCAGTGAAATAACAACTTATGGATGACCACATTGGATATAAGGAGAACCACCCAATTATAAATAACAGTCACATACCTAAGACACAGGAAACACAACCGAGATGGTGGACATGTACAACAAAAACCCCACCAGGAACACAGGACCATTGAAGAGGACACCCAGGCGTTTTCAGAAATGACAACATCTCACACAGTTAGGGACAATAAACCACAACTATTGACACAACAAACTATTTAAGTCACTGAACTTGGCACACATAAAACCTGACCATATTTATAACTGAAGCTGTCCTCAGCTGGGTGGAACATGGTCACATTTTTATTTTTTCATCAAACCAACAACAATAACTTATGGACGGATAATGTGGGTAAGTAGTAAAGATTCTGTTTCCACACTTTGAGGCAGATTAGGTATATGGTGCTAACCTCACATTTGTTAGACCAGTTGGTGCTCATGGGGTGATATGGTCAGTATCACATTTGCTGCCTTTATTTCCCAAAACACTTCCTGGTACCAACTGTAGTCTATCTGTTGTAACTGCTGCTTCCATCGAAGACAAACTGTATTTCTATTACCGGACTATTTGTATTGGCACTTCTAAGGGTTGCCTCATGCATCTGATGCATGTGTGTGCTACTGGTTTTTCCAAATCTGCAGTCGGTGTAAATGTTTTCGCAAGAAACAGTGATGCGCTGTTTTTGCTGGCACAGGAATGGAGCAACCATATGTTTGGTGCTGTGCTTAGTAGGCTAAGTCAGTTTGGTAAAACAATAGCAAACAAATACAATCATTGTTTTCAAGGAGGAATCAAAAACATGGCTACTTAGCTGGCAAACAAACAAGCTATACACTGTACCATCACGGTTCACGACAACATGGGTACAGAGGGACAAACTCACAAATGGTTGCATCGTCATCATCATCATCATCAAGTGTTTTGCTAACTAGCCAAGGCAGTCATGCTTCTGCAAATCCTGTGTTCTTGTTTGTGTTCTACCTGCCAATGGTTCTCAGATTAGAAGGCCACATGCCTCTTTAAAAGCTGTAGTGCGATGAATGTCATCCACTGATCCATACAGCCTGGTTTCCACATGAAATGCTAACTGACCAAACCCCACTTCTTCTTTTTATTCTGCATGTTCTCCAGGTGTAAACTCTGGTGGATAGTTCTGGGTGTTCATTCACTTCTAAGCTTGTTTCAGAACTTGTTTTTTGTTGTTGTTACTCACATCCATTTTATGGATCTGGCGTATTCGTATGCAGACTGTTGGTTCCTTGTGTCTTAGACATATGCACTCGGACCTTGAAATAAGCCACCTTTTATGACAAGGCTAATCAACTAAGTTTACTCAACATTTTGCACATGGGAAATATCACAGGCCAGAGGCCAAAGCACAAGTATATAAAGATCAGTAATACAGTACAACAGGCATTAACCCACAGGCCATCTTCTGGGCATCTGGGGGGAGGGGAGGGGGGGGGGGGGCAGATATGGCACGCAGGCTGTCAGGTGAACAGCCCTGTTTTATGACATGGTTGTTAGGAAGCAGTGGGTCGATTATGCCCCCCCCCCCCCTCTCCAAAAAAAAAAGTATCCACAAACTGAACTGGCTGAACCTGAAATCTTCCTACTACTAGCAGACAAGCATGTATGCATTTTTGTACTGACATCTTTGAGTTCCATGATGAAAAGCTGTCAGAAATCGTATCTGTCTTCTTTCACCTTTCTGTCCATAACATAATGTTAGTTACATGTGCTGAACAGAAAGTCTGAAAACTACCCCATCTTTTACTCACTGCTGTGTTCAAGTTACAGAGGATCAGCGTCATTGTACAAGGTTTTATCTCATTTGGCTCGTTCTGGTCTCTCACCACGGAGACCAGTAGCTGTGTGGTTTTACTAGAGGATTTTATGTTGAGTAGTTTGCTATTGTTTTCAGAACTGTACAATATTCACACCATTATCAAAATCATTGCAAAGTGGTCTGCTACCAAACTGCCAGCAGCTGAGTTTGAATCCCTGATTGTCAGAATTGTGAAATGATGTTCATAAAAATAAACCACAGATGCTGACTTTAAAAATACTACACACAACCATGTATTTATGAACGTGATATGCTGAAGAGCAAACGTTTTATCTTCTGTTTTAGTTGTGGCTTAAAGCTAGGCTGCCATAAATCCGCCTTTTGACCCAACACTTCCAATTCAGCAAACCCCTAATTAATTGTCTTTTATGACATGCTTGTTTAATGGCAATGGGTCTATTCCCCTACCACCCCACAAATCGGGCCCCAGAATCCCCTTGAATACAACTTTTTATAAACCATATCAAAACCTCTATGCAGTGATAGCTTCAAACAGGGGTTACTTGTAAAACAAAGAGCAGAATAATACATGATCTTGGCAATGTGGTTTTATAACCTGTCCATTCTATATTAATGTTTATATTGTTTTCTTAATTTAATCTGCACATACATAATATACATTGATGTAATGTGAACTTATATCATTCACATAATCTCATAAGTTTCCTCACTTTAAAAAAAAAATATAACTGTATTATTCCAAAATGTCAACACTCAGACTTATGTTCATATATTTATACAATCTTAATATTCCAAATCTTCTCACTGTCATTATTTTAACATTCCGAAAGTCAACATCAATATTTTAAACTCTACTGCTCTTTAATATAAGGTGCATGACTGGTTTGAAACTTTTGCACAATCATAATAAATTATAAAAATCGGTAGCAGCGAGTAATCTTCAAACAACCTTTATAATCCAGACTTCTCTGGCAGTACATACATTCCACACAAACTAAATAATCCATCTGTACGTGGCAATACGTTTTATCAAACAATCTTGATATTCCAAACTTTTACAACAACACTAATCTTCACACAATCTTTCTTAACAATTCAAACCTCTGTGGCAAAACTCAACCCTCTTCCCACTCCCGTCCCCCTCCCAATAATCCATAAAACCAACACTTCCAGTGGTCCAACCCCCCCCCCCACCCCCCCAAAAAAACACGACTTTTCTAGAGTGACATGCTTACATGACACAAAGTTAATGCCTTTGGCTAGTTCACAACTGGCAAATATTTAGGAGGTCAGAATAGGATTACATTAGCAACACTAGCATTTAGGGATGTTTTTCTGAGAACCAAATGGTTTTTTTTTAAACCAAGCTGACATCACATTTTCCCCCATAAGCCTCAGTGATAGATGTCACAGGGTCATGACATGTATCACTAGATGTCACAGGATCACGACATGTATCACTAGATGTCACAGGGTCATGGCATGTATCACTAGATGTCACAGGGTCACGACATGTATCACTAGATGTCACAGGGTCACGACATGTATCACTAGATGTCACAGGATCATGACATGTATCACTAGATGTCACAGGGTCATGGCATGTATCACTAGATGTCACAGGGTCATGACATGTATCACTAGATGTCACAGGATCACGACATGTATCACTAGATGTCACAGGGTCATGGCATGTATCACTAGATGTCACAGGGTCACGACATGTATCACTAGATGTCACAGGGTCACGACATGTATCACTAGATGTCACAGGATCACGACATGTATCACTAGATGTCACAGGGTCATGGCATGTATCACTAGATGTCACAGGGTCACGACATATATCACTAGATGTCACAGGGTCACAACATGTATCACTAGATGTCACAGGATCACGACATGTATCACTAGATGTCACAGGGTCATGGCATGTATCACTAGATGTCACAGGGTCATGACATGTATGATTAGATGTCACAGGGTCACGACATGTATCACTAGATGTCACAGGATCACGACATGTATCACTAGATGTCACAGGGTCATGGCATGTATCACTAGATGTCACAGGGTCACGACATGTATCACTAGATGTGACAGGGTCACGACATGTATCACTAGATGTCACAGGGTCACGACATGTATCACTTGACACACATTGTTTTTTTTAGGCCCTGGTTAATGTATTCCATTTTTCTTATTCACATTCGTCAGCTGTAAATTCTGGTGGAAAATTCTGGTTGTTCGTCCACCTCTGGACTTTGGTCTTCGTCCAGTAAATGAGTTTTTGCTTGCACATCCAGTTTACAGATCTGGCTTATTTATATGCAGACTGTTGGTTCCTTGCCTCTCAGGCTGATGCACTCCAACTTTGAAGTAAACCCCTATTTAGTCAACTCTAATGACATGATTGCTAGGGAGGAAGTGGTACTACTCCGGAACCCATACGAGAAATATTTCATTTAATGCTTCACTCTGTTCGTATTTACTGATCTCTCCCTTGATATATTATGAAATAAATTTAAAATGCAGATGAATAAACTGGTGCTTTTTTCATATCCTACCCCAAACAGGGGAAATCGACAGGTCATAGGACAGTCTAATATTTCAGGGGGTGGTAGATAGGCTGCATGCAGTCGTGGTACCTAGGCTGCGCTGTCTCGTGGGACGTGGGTGGGTTGGTGAACCGATAAATTTGTAAACATTTATTAATGACCTGTGAAAAAAAAAAATTCTTAAGGATGTTGGGGGGGGGGGGGGGGGGGGGGGGGGGGGGGGGGGGGAATTCCCACAGGGTCATGTCAATTTTTTTTTTAAGCATTCGCAGGGCAAAAGGGTTAACCTTCACACGACCTTTACAACCCAAACGCTTTCAGCAAGACTTCTGCCTCCACATTTTCCTTCTCATCTTCATCAATCTGTAAATCATCCATACCCAGCGTCTTCCACCACGGCTGCTGCAACTTGGTCATCAACTGGCTGTGCTGGTGTTTGGCTGCCGTTGCTACTGGTAACGACCTACTTGAGTAGTGTACCACATCATCTTCAGTGACATCTTTCAGACTGGGTGCCACTGAAATAAACAAACAATTATCAATGCATCTTTCAGATTTTAAAGGTTATCACTGTTTATCAGTTTGTAATTCTTTTAGTTCCTTGCCTCTGTGGCAGATGCACTCCTACTTCGAAGAAAGCTCCTATTTATTTGATCCTTATGACATGCTTTTGGCTAGGTAGTGAGTCTATTCCTATTTTCTCCATGGACCATGCTGATATTCCGAATGCTCTATGAGAAGTAAGATGTTTGCGAGAACCAAGTGATGACTGTGAATCTCCAGCTATGACCAGACTGCACTTATGGACTAAATGGTTTGATACAGGGGCCAATCATCTGAGTGAAGATTTGACATTAAAGCATCCAGGACAAGGCCATATTAGCCCCCCCCCCCCCCCCCTGTCCACACACACACAAGTCTCTAGTGGCGCCCATTATTCGGGGGCCATTGAAATTAACAAACTGTTGTCACCTCAGCTTTCAGACTTGGGGCCACAGAAATAAATAAACCAGTCACTTCATCTTCAATAACATCTTTCAGACTTAGGGCCACTAAAATAAACAAACAGTTTTAACCTCATCTTCAGTAGCAGATTTGACTAAGACTTTCAGGCTTGCAGGCAAATGTCTAGCTAATACTGCAATTACAATTAGATTGATTGGGTACCACTGCAACTGTCCATTAGCTGAATTTTTTATTTTAAAAGCTGCAGATAAAAGTCACTTTCCCAGGTAGCAATAACAGGACATGGAGGAGGAGGAGGAAGAGAACAATAACAACCATGAAATCAAGTCATACTCATACAGAAGGTTGGGTCATGGAGCTAGTGAGCTGAGTGCTTGGTGTGACAGTGAGCTGTGGGTTTTATGTGGAATGTTTCTGTGTGTGTTGTGAACTGCACAAAATGGTGTGCACTTATGTAGTATTGTCAGCTTTTTTATTGACTGCTAACATCAACAGCAAGCGGCAACTCCGGTGTGGGACTGTTTGTGTTGGCATACCTGACAGCTGCCTTATGCATTTACTTGATGTGTGCAAGATTCAAGATTTGCCTGGCAATTACATGTTTTACTAGTTCTCAAATGGTGAAAGACATGTTGCACGATTTCTACAAGCAGAGAAACTAAGCAGTTATGGGGGCAACCTGACTGCAGTAAAGCTGGAACCTTGTCTAATGACTAACAACTAACAAGTCATACATACAAGCAACCAGCTCCATATCCATATCCAGCCGAGCTGTCAGATTCTCCACCTGGTACTGAAGCTTTCTGTAGGGCCTCACGCTGGAGTAGTGTCTCGCTAACAGCTCCTGAGCTCTCTGTAGTGACAACTCCAACTGCTCTTTGTTGTCTATTCTTGTCTGGTAAATTAAACAGGAATATGATTCTCAAACAATGTATAAACAGTACAATCTAAGTAAAGGATTTTTAACCCATTTTAGCCAATTGCTATCTCAGTCTTTTTCTTAGTGTTCACCAGCTGTAAACTCCGGCAGAAAATGCTGGTTCTTCATCCACTTCTGGACTTTAAGTCTTGTTCCAGATGATGGCTACATCTGCCCTCAGCTGTCTAAAAATGATATCCAGTAGATTTATCCAATAAACAGGAAATGAAACCTGAAAACTAAATGTTATGTCATGGCAGGCATAACCCTTAGCCTTTGTTGGTAGCTCCAGAAAGTGGACAAACAGAGCACTGCTCTCTTGATTCAACAGCTATTAATTACCAGAACCATACCTAGTACCCAATTAGGGCTGGGCCGACCTAGAAGCCAAGGTCATTTCTGGAAACAGTCCGGCTCCATCAGTACCCGAACCCACAACCCTAACCACATATACATACTGGAATCCCCCCCCCCCCCCCCATGATAAACTCATCTCCTCTGACATATACATATTGGATTTCACTCTCTTCACACATCAATTTGACGTACATAATAAGCTTGTCGCTGCTCACATCACATATACACACTGGATTTCTCTTTCTCCACATACCAACACCAAGCCCACCATAAACTAATCTTCTCACACATATACATACTGGATTCCTCTCCCTCCATATACCAACACCAAACACACGATAAACTTCCCACACATATACATACTGGATTCCTCTCCCTCCATATATCAACACCAAATACATGATAAACTTCCCATACATTTACATACTGGATTCCTCTCCCTCCACACACCAACACCAAACACATAATTAACTAATCTTCCCACACATATACATACTGGATTCCTTTCCCTCCACACACCAACACCAAACACATGAGTAACTAATCTTTCCACACATATACATACTGGATTCCTCTCCCTCCACATACCAACACCAAACACATGAGTAACTAATCTTCCCACACATATACATACTGGATTCCTCTCCCTCCACATACCAACACCAAACACATGATTAACTAATCTTTCCACACATATACATACTGGATTCCTCTCCCTCCACTCAGAAATCTTCATGCAAAGCTCTGCCCTTCTCTCCTCAGTCAGACCAGTTGGCTTTAAGTGAGTTGGGAAGTCTTTGCGGTCCAGTTCCGACTTCTCTAGCCATTTACGGAACTAAATGTAAAGAACATACGCAATCATTACTCAAAAGATTTTGAAAATTATATCACTCAACACTGAGAATCCTAACAGAATCATAAACTAGAATATGAATCCATTGTCAAGATTATCTTATAATTTGAGAAGGCCACCGGCCTCTTGAAAAGCTCTGGTGCGATGAATGTCATCCACTGATGCATACAGCCTGGTTTCCACATGAAATGCTAATTGGCCAAACTTTCTTCTTCTTCTTGTTCTGAATGATCTCTGGCTCTAAACTATGGTGGAAAGTTCTGGTTGTTCGTTCTCTTCTGAGTTTGTTTCAGAACTCCCTTTCCAAATGATTAAAAAAAACCAATCCAATCTCTTTCATAAATGTTTGTTGTATTCTAGACAAAACATTACGGTCTGCTGTGTTTGTAAATTGTTGCTGTGTTTGTTATTCGGCCTATGCTTGGTTAATATAAATTTAATGTGTGAAAATCAAATACTAGAATAAGAATCCATTGTCAAGATTAAGATTATCTTATAAAACAAAAGTAAAGAACTTTTCATAAGCAGCCGCTGTGATGTAGCGGCTAGATGCTCACCGGCACATCCGAAGATTAAGGGTTCAAATCCAAACAGAGCCAGACTTTTTTTTTTAAAAATCAGCTTGGCTCACTAGTCAACCCAGCCTGAAATGGGTACCAGGTACAGTTCTGGGAAGTAAAGGCAGCCAGCATGAAGTTGACCACACGACCCACCGAGCGCCGATTGGTCCAAAAATATAGGTCTAGCACTTTATGCCTGAAGGTGTGGAAAAGGGTCCTTTTTATGCCCCCCCCCCCACCCCCACCCCAGTGTTGAATATTGTGAACATGTTATAGAAGGAATGTACTATAGAACTTAGTAATGACTATCAAGATTGATGGATAAAGAGCAAGAGGAAGGCAAAGAGATAAATACCTGGATGGCTTAGAGGGGGGGGGGGGGTGAAACAAGAACATTGACCTGATCTCTGATTGTGGTGATCATGTGGTGTGAGCGAAACATGACAGCCCATGCTTATCAGCATGGTGCATGATGATGATGATGATGATGGCTTAAAAGTAAAACTCTCACTCCTCAACTGTCCTCATTTTACTCTCTCACTCTTAAACCGTCCTCTTTTTACTCTCTCACTCCTAAACCGTCCTCTATCTAAAGTCTCCAAGAAGCCAATTACAGGAGTAAGCTATGACTCAGCAAATATTTTTGTTTAAACATGTTGATGAGATGAGTCCAATCAGATACAATCTGGCACTGCATTTACTATTGATTTGATCGATAGTTTCAAGTTCAAGCTCCCCAGTTGATACTTACCGCTCTCTGGATCTTGATGGCTGCTCGAACTTGCTCCGCCACCATTTGTCTGGCTGACAGTTTTGTTCGTTCTCGATGACCTCGCCACAAAGTTTGAATTCGTGTCGCAGCCACAGATTTCTCCTTCTTCAGGTATCCCTCTATGCGAGCTTTAGAACAAGATTTTTTTTTTTTTACATTTTTGGTATAAAACTGACATGTTTAAAAATTGCTGAGTTTTTTTTTTTTTAAAGATACCCACATTTGTACACAATATGCTTGTTCCTGATTATCCATTATTGTCTTTCATTAGCTTCTATAAGGCATTCTGTCATCTAACTTCATGGCTGTATTTAATTCTCCACTTAATTTTATGGTACTAAGTAGTTTTCCGATACCTAACTTCTTTTTTCTTCTTAGCATTCACCAGCTGTTAACTCTAGCAGAAAGTGCTGGTTGTTCATCCACTTTTGGATATTAGTATTCTTCCTAAACATCTGACCTCCATCTATGTAATGTATGTAATTGTTAAAACTATGTGGCTCCGTGTAACTCAAAAATATTACCTCTATCTATGTCATCTATGTAATTTTCAAACTTTGGGGCTCTATGTAACTCTCTAAAATGTTACCTCTGTCTATGTAGTCTATGTAATTTTCAAACTTTGTGGCTCTATGTAACTCTAAAATGTTACCTCTATCTATGTCATCTATGTAATTTTCAAACTTTGTGGCTCTATGTAACTCTCTAAAATGTTACCTCTGTCTATGTAGTCTATGTAATTTTCAAACTTTGTGGCTCTATGTAACTCTCTAAAATGTTACCTCTATCTATGTCATCTATGTAATTTTCAAACTTTGGGGCTCTATGTAACTCTCTAAAATGTTATCTCTGTCTATGTAGTCTATGTAATTTTCAAACTTTGGGGCTCTATGTAACTCTCGAACTTCAAGACTTTAAGTGATTCTCCAACATAAATTCCACAGGTCTTTAACATTTAGCACCCCACAGTCGAGTATACTGGACTTCCGCCGCCCACCCCGTAGCCTCCCACAGTCGAGTATAGTCGACATCTATATATGGTTGAAGAATACGAATCCTAAACGGAGCTACGCGTGTGACGTCACTTGAAAACTATAAATAACTCTTCTACAGTGGTTTCACTTCCTGTGATGGCCGAGAGTGGCTTTGTATGATAAATTTTTCTCAGCCAGTTCGATATCCATCACCATCCTTCGAAATGGAAGTTATTTATTCTGAAATCTTCATGGATTCTGACTATGACGATGAGATTTTAGGTGTTACTGCAGCCGATATCAGTCGCGAAGTTGATATGTCTGGAGACGTAAGTGAAGGTAGTTCTGTTTCCAGTGTGTCAGATTCTTAGGATACGGATTACGAGGAGATGCATGACTAATTGGTGAGTCTTTATGTTTGTACTGTTTTTGTTTACATTTTCCCCTTTTCACTCTGTCCTCACACATCACCTATCAAAACATACACCAACAAAACTCATATCAATTTATGCAGAAATCATTTCTTTATTTCAGTTTAAATAATTATGCAAAACTATTCATAAACCAAAAAGTTATTGTGTTTTCCATGTTTCCTCCATAAAAAACGCGAAATGTGAAAAAATAAGGTGGGAAGCAAGGGAAATAATTTGAATTTTTATTGTGGGGTGCTAAAGGATAAGATAATGTACAAGAGAAATGTAGAAATTACAAACTGATAAACACTGACAACCTTAAAGATCTGAACAGGAAGGAATACTGGCTAGTAAACAGCATCCAGTCTCAGAAACTGAAGTATTTTCACCCTTTCAAGATGGTGGATTGGAACAAATAACATGCAGAAGGCATGGTACCAGGAAAAATAGGCAGAAGTTAACCAGCGCGAAGATGGGCACAGTATATAAGCGACTCCTTGGGCAGGAAAGAGGAAAGTGCATGAGGTGGGAGAGCTGCCAAGAGACAGAGTTTTGTTCAGGCAGCACCAAAATATACCACTATTGACTACTCACAGTCCTGTGTGAGTTTAGGGGTCCCACTGTGGAGAAAATAAGCTAGTTAGTCGACAGATTATCCTCACTGCACATTGAACCATTCAGTCCATAAGTGCTCGGATCCCCTCCTCAGTAAATCCTGCAGCGTGTAGCGCCTCACGACACCAGTTCTGTGTTAGTTTCTTATTCTTCCCTGGCTTCCTGCAGAGTGCTCTTGTCTGACCACACCCCTTTTAACATGTTGTTATCGGAGTCTGGTCATGGCTGCAGATTCACAGTCATCACTTGGTTCTCGCAAACATCTTACTTCTCATAGAGCATTCACAATATCAGCATGGTCCATGGAGAAAATAGGAATAGACCCACTACCTACCCAACATGTCGTAAGGGTCGAATAATTATGAGCTTTCTTCGAAGTCGGAGTGTATCTGCCAGAGAGGCAAGGAACTAAAAGTCTGCATATACATGAGTCAGATCTGTAAAACGGATGTGCACACAACACTCATATTCTGGAAAAGGACTAGAATCCAGAAGTGGATGAACAACCAGAACTTTCCGCTGGAGTTTACAGCCAGTGAATACAGAGAAGAAGAAGAAGAAGAAGAAGAAGAAGAAGAAGAATACTCACAGGCTGGTAAAATCTCTAGAGTATGCAGACGTTTCTCATGAAACTGGCGCATTAACTGCTGGCGTCTGCGTTTCATCTGATAGTACAGCTCCGACTGAAACTGGGTTTGAAGTTTGGCATGCTCCTCCTGCGCTTTCTTCAGTCTGTCAACACATAACTAACATATCACCATAGTTCCTTGTGAGTCCACAGGAAAAAATAACATAACATCATAGTTCAAGGACCCATCCACAGGAAAGAATAACATAACACCATAGTTCAAAGACCCATCCACAGGAAAGAATAACATAACATCATAGTTCAAGGACCCATCCACAGGAAAGAATAACATAACACCATAGTTCAAAGACCCATCCACAGAAAAGAATAACATAACACCATAGTTCAAGGACCCATCCACAGGAAAGAATAACATAACATCATAGTTCAAGGACCCATCCACAAGAAAGAATAACATAACACCATAGTTCAAGGACCCATCCACAGGAAAGAATAACATATCACCATAGTTCAAGGACCCATCCACAGGAAATAATAACATAACACCATAGTTCAAGGACCCATCCACAGGAAAGAATAACATAACACCATAGTTCAAGGACCCATCCACAAGAAAGAATAACATAACACCATAGTTCAAGGACCCATCCACAGGAAAGAATAACACAACACCATAGTTCAAGGACCCATCCAAAGGAAAAATAATACATCATAGTAATTCAGTCTTACTCCCTGAAAAAAATCACATGCAATAGATTTTCCCTCTTATTTTTAACCCTGTCACCTTGAGAAGTGGCAAAGCCAACATTCAGTTAGGTTCGATTTCCCGCCAATGTCACTTCACTGACTTGGCTATTGTGGCTTGTTCATTAGAATCACAACTAACAGCAGCAGTATCAAATGTATCCATGTAAACTGTTAGGGGGGTACAGGAATCAATTCTGCTTACTAGAAAATTGCATCATGGGGGGGGGGGGGGGGGGGGGGTAAGAATCCCTGTGAACATATATACTTTTAATAGCAATTATGACATCACAGTTTCTCATTACCATTAGTGTTACCTGGCGACCAGGTTAATAAGTCAAGTTTGAGTCACTGTATACATTTTATTGGTCATATTGATGTAAGTCAGTTATTTCTCTTCTGCATTTGTCATTACTGATAACTCCTCTTATTCCATTAATGTAATTATTTTGACTGATATTTTTATTGATATTGTGTGTGCGTGCGTGTGTGTGAGAGAGAGCGCGTGCATATGTTTTTTTTTTAGGTGTTTTTAGGCCACCGGGGCAAAAGGGTTGAGAAAAGTCACTGGGTTGTGTGACAAACATCATGGCAGTTGCCTTTTCCTTTTCTGAATATTTCTGATTACTTGTTTTAGACTGGATTGATGTGGCAGCCCAAGTCACGTTTTAAATAATTAACTTTCCCCAACCTCTTATTCTGAGATGTGAACATATGTACACTCGTCTACAGACAACTGTGCTCAACACTGGGCCAGTCCCAAGTGAAATACTGCATAATACAAACATTTCAAGCAACATTCATTAGGATTAGGAGAAAATATTGAGGACTAGGTGATATCTTGTCAAACCCAAGTACCACATCTTAAGCTGTGTTACTTACCTATAGAAGAATGGCTGGCTAAGTGGTTAAAGTGCTGGGCTCTCGTGTGGGAGCCCCAGGTTTGATCCTTGGCAAAAAGAAAAATCCTAACCGGCGTAGCCCGTGGTGGCTGCACTAGTCATGTGGTCTTAGATTCTCAGGCTCTCACCCCCACCCCCATATCCTACACTGCCTTAAAAGTGCTAAAGACAGTTAAAGACCTACCTATAAGATTTCTGAAATTGAGCAAAAGCGCTGTTGGCATTCCGTAACTTCTTTCTGGTAGAATACCCTCTCCATATGGCCTGGATGTAGCGGGCAGATTCATTGCTCCTCTGGAGAATGAAAAACAATTCAGCAGCTGTCATCTTCAAGGTGAGTTGAAGGTATGGCTTCATTACACGATTATGGCACCTGGGAAATAACAGCTGCTGGCGTGATGCTAACCACATCACCCACCGAGTGCAGACTGGTCTATAAAATACAGGTCTTACACTATATCCTAAATATGCCTGAAGTCAGGGAAAAGGGTCCTTTGCTTAATATTATGGCTACAGGAATAAGACCATCAGAAAGTGAATTCTTCAAACTAGCAATAGACACCAATACAGTTCAGAGACCATCGGAAAGGGAATTCTTCAAACTACAATACACACCAATACAGAGTCAGAGACTATCAGAAAGGTAATTCTTCAAACTAACAATACACACCAATACAGTGTCAGAGACTATCAGAAAGGGAATTCTTCACACTACAATACACACCAGTACAGAGTCAGAGACTATCAGAAAAAGAAATCTTCACACTACAATACACACCAGTACAGAGTCAGAGACTATCAGAAAAAGAAATCTTCACACTACAATACACACCAACACAGAGTCAGAGACTATCAGAAAGGGAATTCTTCAAACTAACAATACACAGTCAGAGACCATAGGAAAGGGAATTCTTCAAACTAACAATACAGAGTCAGAGACTATCAGAAAGGGAATTCTTAAAACTAACAATACACATGAATACAGAGTCAGAGACCATTTGTATGACTGTACACTAAGTATATGAAAGGGTAAAGGTCACCCTCTAGAATGTATTGCTGAATGGTTGTCAACATCCATAGATTTCACATGCATGTTGTAAAGTATTGGGCCATTATGACCCTGACCACACCGACCACCAAGTGTTTAGTTTATACAAATACAGTGCTTCAATCATGAACACATTACACCTCAGAGCATGAAATCATACCTTTTAGATGACTTAAAAATAGTTCCAAAACAGTTACTGCAGATATATGAAATGTAAGGCTACAGCATACAGGTAGGGCAAGCAGTTCACTTCTTTGACACCTGTCCTTCCCTGATTTTACTTCCACAAATTCCTGTGTGAGTTCCGGGGCCCCATTCTGGGGGTGGCAGAACTGACCCACTGCCTTCCTTACAAGCGTGTCGTAGAAGGCGACTAATTAGGGGAGTTTGGTTTCCTTCAAAGTCGGAATGCATCTGTCCAAATGGTGAGGAACCAACATTCTGCAAATAAACCAGATCCGTAAAACAGATGTGCAAGCAAAACTCAAGTTATGGAGCAAGACTGAAGTCCATAAATGGATGAACAACCAGGCTTTTCCATCAGAGTTTACAGCAGGTGAACACTAAGAAGAAGAAGAAGAAGAAGAAGAAGAAAAAGAAGAAGGTATAAGGTGTAAACTGACCCAACAAAAAACACCACTACCTGTGACTTAGCTTTCGCAGCAGAGCCAGATTCCAACATCAGTGAGACGTGCCGGAGATCCCTGTCAAATCCCCGCCCTTCCCATCTTCTAAGCAATGGCCGCAGACCCCTGTTTAAAACCAAGTTGCAAAAACGTCACTAGGAATGTTGCAAGCATTTTCCATTGGAAATATATAATATACTCTTTTATTTTAACATACAAAAAAGAGTATATTCAATGTTTTCCAGTTGTAAGTAAAGTAAATGACCCTTTTCCATGCCTTTCAGACGTATTGGGTATACAGGGCTAGATCCATATTTTATAGACCAACGGCACAAGACAGGTGATGTAGTCAGCATCACGCCGGCCGCCTTTACTTCCCAGGACTGCCCCTGGTACTGACTCAAGGCTGGGTCGACCTGGGAGCCAAGGTTATTTTTGAAAAAAAGTCCGACCCAGCCAGGGAGCAAACCCATGACTTTTGGATCCACAGGCAAGTGTCTAGCCGCTACGCTATAGCGACTCCCATGCGTACATAAACAATACATTGCACAATTTACTGCATTTTGCTGCATCAAGTGCATCACTACACAGTTAAACTAACATATAATAAAGCACAAAAACAAATCCTTTTCACTGAAATAAAAACTGGAAATTCAAGATTGCCATATGGTTATCAAGATAACCTCAAATTTACCATAAGATCTTTTTGTTTACATAAAACTGAAGAATTCAGTTTTATTGATATTGCCTTGGCTAACTTTAATAAAAGTCCATTCAATGTGTGGTAAATAATTCTGAAGGCACAATCCTTATCAACTATGTGCCCACTATCATAGTAAAGAAAACTTGACACATATAGCAAAATTTAATACCCACTAGCAAGGCAAAACAACACCTGTCAGCTACATGAGCCCAATGTCAACTGCCACCCAAGTAGGTCAACCTTGTCCAGTGAATTTTAAAACTCTTGTACCAAATAGCTTGTCTCATTTTTTTACCAGCAAAGGTTCTCATGTGCGAGTGATAACAGAACAAGGATAAATGACATCTTTCTCTTGCTTCTTTTGCTGGTCATCTCCAAATACCTCCCTTAACCAACTGAAATAAAGATCTTTATAAACTTGTTTATATTCGGGAGGTAAACTTTTCTATGAGGTGAAGTAGTCAGCCTCAGGACAAACCTCCCTTGGTAACTTCTTATCAAATGCATAATAAGTTAGTTACAATTATTGGATTCCTTCATGGGGTGCAAGAATGTACAGATGTACACCTGAGAAGTGACACCATCAGATCTTTAAAGTCCCCAGGTTTCTGTGTGAGTTCTGAGACCCAATTTGGGGGTGGGGGTGGGAGGGGGGGCGGGGTTGGAGAATAGATCCACTGCCCCCTCCCCCTTCCCACCCCGGAGCAAGGATATTATACGTCGACTAATTAAGGATGCTTCCTTTTGAGTCGGAGTGCATCTGCTTGAGAACAAGAAACCAACAGTCTGCATATAAATAAGCCATGTATCTGTGAAATGGATGTACACGAAAAACATGATTTCTGGATCAAGACCAAAGTCACTAAGTGGACAAATAACCAGAACTTTCTGTCGGAGTTTACAGCCCATGCATGTGAAAAAAAAAAAAGAAGAAGAAGCCGAAGAAGATTTTTTAGGAAATTAAATTAAGGAAATACAATTCAGAAAAGCAAACTAAAACTGATAACGGAAAAGCAACAAATAATATCAATGCAAAATAAGGAATTGCCAGATTTGTCAATAATTCTAAAGCTTACAAATCGGGTGTAGATGTTTCACCATCCCTCTTGTTACTTTGACTCTGGTCTACATCTAAAAACCTACAGATAAGTGTGGGTAAAATCACTCAAATGTACCAGGCATAGTTGTGATTTTCCCTTTCGCCCTGGTAACTCTAAAAACATTGTCATAAGCCCTTAGGAATTCCCTAAATAAATCCTTTAAAACAACAATTAGGTAACTAAAACACTTGTAAAATATTATCACTTATATTGGTTTTGTAATAAATAAAAAAAAAAATTTAATAAAGATATTTAACTCTGAGTCCCAAGGAACGCATCATACGTTCATAGATTCCTACTTAGAAGCCCAATGAACGCAAGATGTGCCGATTTTACGTCTCTCTTGACTAAATCTCGGGCCTGTGATGCTAAACCCCCTGGGACTCAAAGAGTTAAAGGTAGTAATCAGTTAACATGAACAGAGTGTCCTGTTAAATTAAATAGAGTCCCCGTAAAAAAATTAATGTATCAGGTGACTCGCGGCGTGACCCGGTGACTTCTATCAATAAGAATTACACAAATGTTGAAGTCAACTTGGCTTTTAAAAAAACCCACCTGGTTTGAAGGCAAACCACCCTAAATGTTATTTTTAGTTAATATATTCACATCCTGACCTCATAAACGTTTGTGTAAGTGTTAACACAACCAAAAGCACTATCCACCCTTCTGATAAACAGGTCAATAAAGACAAGTCTGAAAAATGATTACTGACAGACAAATCGGCCCAAAGTGGAAGTGTTAGTTCTGTGGCTTCTCAGGAGGACAGGGTTAACTTAGTTGTGTATACACAGACTAAGGCACATGATGATGATCTTGATACATGTACATAACTACGCTATTGCGTTCTGAAGCTGAACATTCTTCGCCTGCTTGTCTTTCAGTCTCACACCAATTCTTGATAGTCAACTCTTATGACACGCATCCCTGTCTGTTTCTCTCAGTAGTGCTGATAGTATCAAGCATCTAAGGCAAGACAGAGGTACAATCAGACAGTTACTGGTACCATTTGAATTTAAATTCTTCGCTTGCTGCTGAAGATGGGGACAGGGCACTTATGCAAGTGTCCCAAATGCTAAGATGTAAATTTTTAATTCAACATACAACTCTGCAGTGGATTGAATATATTGCCTTCTCCAACATGGATGACCTGTATGCACATTCTGTATGTTAAAATTCTTCATGCATTGCAATCTAAAAATAATCAGGCCAAATAAACTACATCTCTGGCTACTTATCAAATTATTAAACCAGCCATCAAAGAAACTTCTATATATTCCGATTTTTACATACTGGGATCCTCACCTAACTCTAATTAGAATGAAACCAACGATGCCAGCAGCAAGAGCGTACAATATGAAAATCCAAACATCAAGAGGCAGGGGAAGACAGAGAAGAATATGGATTGAAGGAGTCACTGACACCTTGAGACTGCAAAACATCACTGCATATCAAGTGACTGAACATGCCCTGGCTCGGTTGCCAGTCATCTGATGAATTGCGACGCCTAGCGGCATAAGCAGACATTGACAAAAGAAGAAGAAGGATCCTCACCTGTGCTGCTTCTTCTTCTTTTTGTGATCATTTCCTTTATTTACAAAAACAGACGAATTCTTGTGACAGAACTGTTTTAAGGTCCTCTGTAGTTCCATACCCCTCTTTCCTCTGTAGTTCCATACTCCTCTTTCCTTTGTAGTTCCATGCCACTCTGTCCTCTGTAGTTCCATACCACTTTGAGTATGGTGTTAACTCACTGGATCAGTATTCCCTTCTCTATGGCCTGAAAACAGGGGTGACTGCAGTCAAGCTAATACCAAGAAATTAAACCAGTGAACTGTGACTTAAAAGAGTTGATTAGTCACAGTTCACTGATTTAATTTCTTCTTAACGGCCTGTACAAGGGACAGTCTTGCAGGGCATGTTCTGCAGTTTGAAAGCACAGCCCGCATGGGCACTACAGTGAACTACTCAGACGAAGCCTGGACATATCATAGTTGAGTTTGTAATGCCCTGTTCTGAGCTGCAGAACAATGACCTGCCTAGGCTGGTCACCAAGTGGTAGTCACCAGTGCTGAAAGGGTTGTGCACTGTGCTGAGATGTTTCTTGTGTGATCTATACAAGACTGCAGCATATATAGAGGTACATGTTTACAATGAAAGTCATTCTTCACACATACAACCATCTTGTACTCACTTATATCTGGTACACAAAATTTCAACCAACAGTTTGTGACGGTCACACATCTGTATGAGACAATGGCATGCTGCACTGTATAGAGAAACAAACAAAATTCATTAATCAACAATAGATTAAACTATTGTAATGCCATGTAGACTTAGAAGTAAAAAAATGTTAGCGATTTCATATACAGTATAAGTACATTTGTCATAAACCTAACCTGTGAGACTCAAGGACAAACTGGAGTCAGAGTGACTGCATCTGAGAAACACAATTATTAATGGACACCATAATTTTTAATGGACCCTTTCACCACGTGAATCTATTTTAAAAAAAGACGGACATGAACCTGTGAGATCCCCCCCCCCCCCCCCCCCCCCCCCAATAAAAAAAAATATTTCAACAGACATATAACTTGGGTCACATATTTTTTTAACATATCAACTGACATTTTAAAAATTCAGTCTGAAATATCTAAAGATATATAAAGGAATGAATCAATAAACATGATCAGAGGAGTTAAGGAATAAATAGACTACATTCCCCAGAGCCAAAACAAATGTACAGGGTGATTCATGCTGTGACCTCTATCACTGAGGTATTGGGAAACCTTGACATGGCTTTAAAAAGCTATTTGGTTCACAATAAAATCCTCTAAATTCTATTTTTAGTAAATATATTCATATCCTAACCTCCTAAACACTGCGCAGGTGTAAATACAACCAATGGTTTCAGTTATATTAACTAGGTGTCTCGCAAATACATCACTGTAGAAATTGCAGTTAAGCATTATTTATGGTGAACTGGACCCTACCGGAAGTGAAGTGCCAGGTTTGTGGCTTCTCAGGACAAACAAGTTGTCATAATACAAAATTTTGACAGATGTTTTTTCACTTTCACCTTTCTGTGCTGTTTTAAAACATCAACACACACACATGCATGCATGTGCGTTGATTACACAGACACACGCACAGAAAATTTTTTTTACTTATATCTAAACATTTTAAATTATTTGTTTTTAAAAAAGTTTTTGCAACAAAATCTTTCTTTTACCTGGCCACAGACACATGTGTATTAACTGTCAATTTGTAGACAAGTTCATCCAAAAGTGCCAACACCGTACTTTCTTCAGTCTTGCCCAGAAGGTGTCTGCAAAGTTAACAGTATGCATTGAAATTTTTCTATTTTTGTTAGTTAGGGCTGTAGAGATTCTTCTCAGGGAAAGTTTACTTCCTGTCCTAAAATTATCATACAGATCTTAATTTGTTGTGCAACTGAAATCTTGCAGTACTAAAAACATCAGTTTTTTTAAAAAAATGTTAAAGTATGCCAGTGTCAGGGGAAATGAACAAGCTGAATGCTTGACTGTGTGGCTACTGTAAAAATGAATAAACGTTTGACTGGTGTCAAATACTGGAAGTTGACTTCCTCATTCTTTTTCCTTCTTAGAAAATTGTGATAATAGTCTGATATCTTCTTGAAGCTAGATCAACCCCTGGCTCTTGGCACCTTCTGTTTTTCCAGAGGACAGTCTTATACTGGAGGCATGGGAATCATTTCCTATGGCAATGGCAAGTTTGACTAGAAAGGCCCGCTTGTGTTAAGAAAAGTCTTCCACAATTAGTGCATGGGATTTCAGGACCACTGTTGCCACTGCCTGTATTTCATGTGCTTTTTCTCCAATAACTGTATCCTGTATCCATATTCCCTTCCTGAATTTCTTCCTTCATGCAACGCTCTTCCTGTATTGTATTGGTCAAGAAAACATAAACTGGTTTCTGTTTGAGATTCAGCTAAGATCACTGTCATGGCAGACATGTGTACTAAGTGTGATGTTGGCCCTATCACTGATTTGTCTGTCTAGCCTCATTTGCCCAGTGCGCCAATAGTACCAACAACAACAACAACAAAAATGTATAAAATAATGGGATTGGGGGGGGGGGGGGGGGGGAGAAATGAATTGATGCATTTCAAATGAAGAGCTGTAGAGATGACACAAAGCAATATTTTTATTTTTAGGATAGCAAAAATGACAGAATAATTCAACACAGAAAAAGAGAAAAGACTGCCATCCTGTGAAACATATAAACACACACAAAAAACAATTCTTACGAATCCAATCTCAGGAGCTTTTCAATTGTTGTCATGGTAGTGACGGTCACCTTTGGACTGTCAGAAACTAACAGCTGTAGTAACCATGGAGAAGAGATCACTGAAAACAACATGAAATTTTTCCAATTAATATATCACTCTACATTTGTAATTCTTAATTCTTTCAGTACCAGTTAGTTAACCATGTATTTTATAACTCCTTTCATGGTATCCATTCATACACTCTCATTGTCTTTTTTGCATTTGATACATTAACCTTCTTCTTCATAAAGTTTACGCCTTGTGTCGTTCATAGTCATGTCTATCGTAACCTTCTGTCTCAAGTACTTTCAATCAACTCTGACACAGATAATCTTCCATGCCATGATGTCATACATATTTTCTCCTGATCTCCCTCTGCCTTTCTTCCCCTAGCTGTCACAATGTTCTCCAGTTTTCACCTTTTTAAGACATCACCAAAGAATGTAGATTGTCTCTTTCTGATATGGACAATCTTTTAAGAATTCTCTTTCTCATCTCAATTAACAAAGAAAGACTGCACAGAATATTCTACATTTTAAAAAATGCTGCCTTTGCTTGAGCTATTCTACATTTAACTTCTTTAATACACCCACCATCTGATATTATCACGGTACCCAAGTACTTAAAGGTAACAACATCAACCCATTCTCTCATTAATTTGTTACATTAACCTTTAGAGTAAAACTGTAGCCCTGCACACATGCTTGGCTGCAAGCCATGCTATCACCTTTGTCTAACAGTCAGGTGGTCATGGAATCAATGATTTTTCTCCCTGTGTGGGTTCCAGGGGGGTGGGGAGGGTAAGAACAGACCCCCCCCCCCCCCCCCAGCCCCCTAACAAGCATATAGCAGAAGTGACTAATTAGAGGTATTTCCTTCGTTGGAGTGCATCTGCCGGAGAAGTGAGAAACCAACAGTCTGCACGCAAATAAGCCAGTCTCTAAAACTGATGTGCATGCAAAACTCAAGGTCTGGAAAAATACCAAAGTCCAGAAGTGGATGAACAAGCAGAACTTTCCATCTGAGGTTACAGTCGGTGACCTCTAACAAGAAGAAAAGAAGAATCAATATTTTATTATAGGTAACATTTTAGTTTATAACATTTTTGTAAGTACTTCTTCGTTTGTCATCCCACTGTTACCAGGTTATAGCTTAGTGATGAGGTTTTTTGTATTTGTCTTGTGCTTCTCAGGTAACTAGAGTGATAGATTTGTTAATCTTTCTGAAGGTTTCAGCTACACTAGCTATCCATCTCTTCTCTGGTCTTCTTCTTGCCTTCTGCCCAGATGTTTTGCTGTAGGTCTCACATACAGTTTTTTCTGGCTGCATTCTTACTAGATGGCCAAACCATTTCATTCTCTCTGACACCAAATTTCTAGACTTCTATGTGCTTGTTTTTGTCTAAATGTCAGCTTTACCTTTAGTACAAATGTAGAAATAACCAGAACATAGCCGGACCAGAGAATCCATCACAATCTTCAAATTAACCATCAACTCAGTTCTCAGCTTTTCTGTTTCCTGTAAGGAAAGATCTAAACAACTAAAAAACATGTAAGTCAGCTTTACATAATTAAAGTAAACAAAGGATGCTGTGATAACAATACCTCATCAGCAAAAAACAATAATAATCAAAACCCAACAAAAAGGAAATGACACTTTAGTATGTACATTACAGCATTAAAATATTTGAATACATGAAAAAAAAATAAACACAATGCATATATCTGTTCATTATTATATTTTATGATTTTAAGGGCAAAACAGAAGAAGAAGAAGAAAAAGAAGAAGAAGAAGAAGAAGAAGAAGAAGAAGAAATGATTATTCAGAAAAGAAGATGAAGAAGAAGAAGAAGAAGAAGAAGAAGAAGAAGAAGAGTAAGAAGAAGACAGAGGAAGATGAAGAAGAAGAAGAAGATGAAAAGAAGAGGAAAACAAAGAAGAGGAAGATGAACAAGATGAAAAAGAAGGAGGAGGAGGAGGAGAAGAAGAAAAAGATTACATATTTAAAATAAATTTTTCGGATTGTCAAATGAATTGACCATCAAACACATCAAACCTTTGAATCTGGTATGTTATTGATAACTTCGTGAATATGTCGAGCCAACAGCAGTAAATTCTCTGTGGACTTAGGTAAGTGATCTTCTTCCAGCTGCCTCTGGTCATCTTTGGTTAGGTTCAAACCACAAGTGGCATTGCTGTAAAAATTCAAAAGCAGTAAATTAAACGATAAATAAAATATCATAAGACAGATCTTTAATCAAGTTAAACTGTCTAAAACAACAAAGAATACTTAACACGCTAACAGAATTTCAAATATTTAGTCTGATACATCCAATAATGCTTTGGCTAACCAAAAAAATACAATTTAAAAGTTTTAAGAACAATGAGAACCCAAGCCAAACAGTTTAAAATTTCAATATCTCAAACAAATCTACATTCCTTTTTAATTTTTTGTTTCATTTTTGTGTGGATAAAGGCTTCCATCAAACTGTCCAGTTGTTCCTGTATGTGGTTTTTTCTTCACCCCATTACTATCCTTAAATACAGTTCAGTGGATTCATTTCTTGATATTAGATTAACTACAGTCATTTTGTTTTCTTGTATCATCATCATCAATTAACAGGTCCTTCAGAGAATTTCACTCTCATTAGTGCCTGATTGAAAGTCTCTTTTTCTTTAGCCAGTTTTTCAGTGCTATGTGCTTTCCTAACCCAATGTCCATTTACAGTTTCTAGGGATATATTATGTGGTAGTCTCCCCTTGCTTTCCACATTCACACGGCTGAGCACCTCTATCTTTAGACTGTCTCAGTAAGGTGGCCGGCCTGATGTTGATCACATTACCCAATGAGTGTTGATTGTCTATCAAATATATGCCTAGCGCTATATGCCCAATATGCTTAAAACAATAGGATAGGGTCTTTTAATAAATAGGTAACTGAACTTACAACCATGGGAGGTGTCTAGTCAACATGCTACCAAAGCTCCCCAGTTGGGATACGAATGCCTGAAGAAAGAGCTCTCTGTGGCGAAGTGGTCAAGCCATTAGCCTTGCGCTCTGACGGTTGTATGTTTGTTTTATGGTGGCGCCATTCAGTTCATGAGTGCAATTTTTACAGAGTGGGGCAATGAAGTCAATTTCTTGAGTAAGTAAGTATCCTGTGCTATGATACTACTGCTAACAATTTAATATCCTGTGTTATGGTACTACTGCTAACAATTTAATACCCACCAGCAAGGCAATAAATATAACACCCGTCAGCTAGGTGAGCCCAATGAGTCATACAAGTGGCTCAACCTTTTGTCCAGTCTCATGTGAAAGTGATAAAAGACAAAGGCTCACATGTGCAAGTGACAAAAGATAAAGGTTCTTATGTGCGAGTGACAAAAGATTAAGGTTCTTATGTGTGAGTGACAAAAGATAAAGGCTCTCATGTGTGAGTGACAAAAGATAAAGGTTCTTATGTGCGAGTGACAAAAGATAAAGGTTCTTATGTGCGAGTGACAAAAGATAAAGGCTCTCATGTGTGAGTGACAAAAGATAAAGGTTCTCATGTGCGAGTGACAAAAGATAAAGGCTCTCACGTGTGAGTGACAAAAGATAAAGGCTCTCATGTGTGAGTGACAAAAGAAAGGTTCTCATGTGCGAGTGACAAAAGAAAGGTTCTCATGTGTGAGTGACAAAAGATAAAGGTTCTCATGTGTGAGTGACAAAAGACAAAGGTTCTCATGTACGAGTGACAAAAGACAAAGGTTCTTATGTGTGAGTGACAAAAGACAAAGGCTCTCATGTGCGAGTGACAAAAGAAAGGTTCTCATGTGTGAGTGACAAAAGAAAAGTTCTCATGTGCGAGTGACAAAAGACAAAGGTTCTTATGTGTGAGTGACAAAAGACAAAGGCTCTCATGTGCGAGTGACAAAAGAAAGGTTCTCATGTGTGAGTGACAAAAGAAAAGTTCTCATGTGTGAGTGACAAAAGACAAAGGTTCTCATGTGCAAGCGACAAAAGACAAAGGTTCTCATGTGTGAGTGACAAAAGACAAAGGCTCTCATGTGCGAGTGACAAAAGAAAGGTTCTCATGTGTGAGTGACAAAAAAAAGGTTCTCATGTGCGAGTGACAAAAGAAAGGTTCTCATGTGCATGTGACAAAAGACAAAGGTTCTTAAGTGCGAGTGACAAATGAAAAAGGTTCTCGTGTTCTCGGATAGCTCAACAGAGGTGTCTGCTTATCCTGCCAGATACTTGGTCTACAAGACTGCCGCAACGAGCTGCATTTTCATCCTCCACCACATTTTCATGGATAGATCAATTATTTACGAAGAAATGTCTAGACCTTTATTCTGTAAATAAAAACTTGAGATGAGAACTATGACAAGCAAGATAACTACCAACCTTAATAGAGCAGCCAGCTCGGCTGCTGTCTCCCACTCTCCAGGAATGACACTAAAATCCTGGCGTAGAACCAGCACAAGTACCTTCAGTAGATTGTACTGCCAGATCTCTTGTCGGATTTGCATTCCCTTTTCTGTACTAGCTGGCATATCGTTCAGTAATGCTTTAAAAAGAAATTATAATTAGTAACAGCATAAACAATTTCTATTAATCTATGGCTGCTTATGAAATGACGTAGAACCACCAAAAAAAAAAAAAAAAAAACAGGAATAAATTCACAATTCATATTTATTTATTTATTTGTTTCTATCTATCTTGTCTTTTCCTCTTCCTGTATTTTCTAGTTACTCATGTGACCACCTCTTACAGGGATTGGTCGCCAGGATTCTATGCCCAATTTTTTGGCTCCTTTATTTTTTTTTTTTCGACCTGCATCATCTTTTCCTCTTCCTATATTTTATAGTTATTCACGTAACCGGCAGTTCAAAAAGTCTTCATGCTTATATTTATCACATTTCTTGGTGAAACAGGATGGGACAGAGGGCACGAGAGCCACATCAGTGTAGTATAGCTAGATGTTTGCTTTTGGGTTCGAATCCACTTCAAATAATTTTTTTTTCAAGCTCTTTTAAGAGACTTTCTGGCCAGCACTTTTTGGCCAGCTTAGCATGAGGTATTTCTGGACCTTGCTCCGGAGGAGGAGGAGAAGAAGAAGTCAGCACAAGGTATAAGAGTGTAGTTTTTCTTCATCATGGGCTCTGCTGACTGGCATAAACAATTATGCATCTCAACGGATCTCAGTTCCTTCTCTTTTGCATCAGTTCCAAGGATGATATCCCTCTGTGCCACCGTCTTAATCCATCTGCATTTATCCCTCTCTGTCTGCATCTCCCTCTTTTACCACTGAAAAGAAGTAGAGACAGAAATTACTAATATCTGGAGGACATAGGAGTAAACTGCCTCTTCTTCTGTTGATTTTCCCAGTTGTCACAATATTCTCCAAACGCCCCCCCCCCCCCACCCCAATCACATGACCAAGAAACAGTGCTTGTCTTTTTCTTATCGATGTATACATTGATCTTCTTTCATTAGCTTCTTTCAAGCAATCGTCGTTAGTTACTCTGGCAGTCGAAGAAGGGATTCTTAACATTCGTCTGAGAAACCATATCTCCGTGGCCTCCAAATTTTCTCCGTGCATTCACATTCCATGATTGACTGCCACACAGCAGTATAGATTCTACATAAAATTTTAGTACTCGTAGTACTAGTACTGCTTATGATAATATCTGTAAAATTTTAGTTAAATACGTGTATATCAATTAATACTAATAATAATATTATTAATATTAAAAAACATCACACACTACTTGACTTACGTCTCAACGCCAAAAGTAGGCCCGGTACTTTTCTATCTTTACTCTCTGAAATTTCTTTGGCTAGCTGAATTATTCGTTGATTGCCCCCTTTTCGTGGGGATTTTGTTAAAACTGTATCCATACCGTACCCTTCTAGTTTAACTTATCTACACACAAGAAACAGAAATATTTAACTTGAAAGACTTCATATCTTTGAATTTTGCTATCTTGGATGTTGTTCTCGGCGTCTGCTGTCAGGCGACCAGAATTCTTCCCAAATGTAAACTAAATAAAGTAAGACGTTTTTAACATCTGTAGTTTTTTTAAAAACATTTTTCTTGCATATTTAACTTAATAATAATAAAAATGTATTATTTCAAATAATGTAACTATTTAAAGCAGTATTTTACAATGTTGAGAAAGAAATAATATAAAATTATTAACGCTTTATCCTGGACATTGTTTGCTATCAGTCCAGGCAAATTTTGCAATCTCTTCCGGTTAATGCAAATGATGTTTCTATGGTTACAACGCCACAACTATATTTAATATTAAATAATCAATCTCTTTTAGCATTTCGAGCACGTGAGGGTAATTGATGTAGACATCGCCCGCCTCAGTTCATCTCTGTGATTAGTATTCTCTTACCAGTTGGTGACTTCAAGTGTTTGTAGGTCTGCCCGTATACTATCTCTCCATGGTCTTCTTGGTCTGCCTCGTGGTCTACGACCATTCAACTCCCGTGTGTACATATTGTGTTTAATGAAATCTCCTTGTCATCTGACATTCTCTCAGTATGTCCTAGCCATTTCAGTCTAGTAGTCCTCGTGATCAGTTGGGATTTCAACAGATTATGAATTTCCTTGCTGCTTTTCGCTCTCCATTCCCCGCTGTTTGCCTCTTTGATGGGTCCAAAGATTCGACTTGAGTGTTTTAAAATATTTGTAATAATTAATAAGGCTCCATCTCTTTTAGCTGTTTTTCATGTTTCACAGCCATAGAAAAAAAATAACAATACCTGAATACAAAATCTTTGCAATATTAAATAACAGAAAGTAAGTGGCAAGCATAAACTCTCACGTGTGAAACGAGGGGGTTGGGGGGGGGGCGATATCAAATTTAAGACGCAGATGGGGTGAACAAGCTATCGTTATTTTAATTACCAATATTACTACTTACAACTGTTAAAACGAGTGTGACATAAACCAACAAGGTTTTCTTTACAGTTGTTCCTCTTTTTATAGTTGTAGGAGTCATCTTCTTCTTCTCTTCCACCTTGTACCTCATCAAAGTGTTGGGGGGGGGGGGGGGAGATGTCATGTTCGTTGATGAGCTCTGTCAAGAGCACTATTAAGACTGATGTTCATTTCTGTAAGGCTGTTCTTAATGCCATCACTCCATATTTTCCGAGGTCTTCCACTCGCTCTATACCCGTTGTAACGTTTTAGTGTGGCTCGCTGTGGCGGATAGTACCAGGGCATTCTTGTTAGGTGTCCAAACCACTTCATTTGTTGTTCTTTGATGACCTGTAAGACTGGCTTTATTCCTAGCATTCGTCTGATTTCATGATTTCGTATTCTGTCTTTCCTTGAAACTCCTGCAGCTCTTCTAAGGCATTTCATCTCTGTTGTCACAATTTTACGTTTATGGGAGGATGTAAGTGTTCACGTTTGGCATTGTTGTAAAAGTAACATTTCAATAATGAGAATCAAACAGTAATGTAAAGTAATTTTTAAAAATTATCCTGTTCAACCCTCAGGCCGTTATTACTAGGATATATAGTGTTAATCTAGTCCTCAGAGTATGTATTTGTTATTTTATATTTATATAACGTGTAATTATTTATATAAGATATGTAATTTGTATTGTTTCACACATTGCTGTGGTTTAGGTTGCGATTATGATAGCAATTGTGCTATGAATAATTAGATGACCTTACTAACGTTGTGTCATTAACATTGTAGATTTATTATTCCTTTAGTGAAATACTTGATTATTCTGCTCGATTTTGTCTTTCGCGTTAACTTCTTCAAAGAAGGCATGGTGATTTTTTACTACTCATATCCAATGCAAATTGTCTAAAGAGTATTATTACAGATATGTAGATGTTGAAATCTACCTTTGTACTGTGAACGATACCAAGGTGTATACAAGCGGAACATGGGTGGTACACTGGGTTGCCAATGACATTTTTTTTTAAAACCCAGCTAAGCTGAACAAAAACCCAAGCAATACATTAAATAAACCTAGATTGTTAAAAAGTACAAATTTTATAGTAACGAAAAGAAACATTTACCCACTTTTATATAAGGATATATTTAAAAAAAAAGAGCAGGTTTCCAAATATGAACCCAAGGCGTTATATAAAAACCCAGATCTAGGGGTAAAAACCCATCATTGGCAGCCCTGATGATACAGGTAATGGTATATGGACGTTGGTCATAACACAACCAGCTGCGACAACTCGATTTATCACTAGTTTCCCAGCCTCGTATATCTCCATGCTGGTTGTGTTTTCTGTATTCTGTGTCAACCTTCGTGTTGGTAGATTCCGTATGGCAGCACCCCTCCTGTGTAACAATTAAATAATTGTGTAAATAACACTTAACTGCCATTTATGTTATTATTAGGGCTATACAGAATAGTGATTTTCACTATTCGGCCGAATACGAATAGCGGGACCAACTATTCGGCCGAATACGAATAGTGTATTATCATCATCATCAGGTGCCTTGTCGACTGGCGTGGGTGATTGTCAATTCTGACTCGTTCATTCATTTATTGCTCTGAATAATGAGCTTAGAAAAGTCGATCTTTGAGCCCTCAGGTTTTTTTTGGTGTGGTTCCCCCCCCCCCCTCCCGCTCCCCCAAGTTAGTTGCATATCCTTAACCGGACATTGCAGAACCAACCCCAGCATTATTTTTGTTGCTTTTGTGGTTTTTCTAGGCAAATTTACGTCCAGTAGTTTGCCATTGCTTTTTGAACGGTCGGCTTCTCGATACTACTGTCGTAGCCAGTACAAGGCGTAAGGCCCGCAGCTGGGATCCGGCATCCCGACATTACGAAGCACGTTCGCAACCCATAAGCCACAGACCATATTAGTACTCCAATATAACTGTTCATAGGGCTGGCTTTAACCATTGAATGGGATTTCAAAGATTTGTACCTGCTTGATTCTCATTCTTGATATGCTAATCCTTCAGACTGAAATCCTGGAGGGACAAAACGAAAAGAAAATAGTAAATGCAGTTTCCTTGTCCGCACAGAACTGCAGGCTACAACACAGGGAGAGGAAAAAAGGGGGAGAGGGGATAAACGGCATGGTTTCCACACAAACGCGGATCTAAATACCAAGGCCCTTTCCTTCACTACTATACCTGCTACAATAGTAGTAAAGAAAGTCTTTACGTTTAAATAGGGACATTTTGTCTCTTTGTCTCTAGGCAGACTTTTTGACTTTTTTTTGTATCTGTTTTCAACTTTATGTATGGTGGTATTTCAAACATATTTAGCATTACTCAGCATGCAGTTAGCATAACGATCTCAGTCTAAACATGGTTCATGCCTAATTTCACAAAGCTTTATATGTAAAACAAACAAGTGCTCCCATCTCTCAATACTAAATTAACATTACCTCACAACTTCAGCTGAGTTCACACTTTGTACAACATCAACCGTAAACCAAACTTACACATTTGCGAATCGCTCAGCACAAGATTACAACTATGAGTTCACAATTTGCTAAGGACATGTCAAACAAATTCAGCTTACTAGAAAATGAAACAAAACAAGCTTATATTTTAAACAGCGCTCACGTCAAGATTTGCTAATCGCCAAATATCAATCACACAACAAATCAAACATCACTCAGCATAACATAAACTTAGCGAATAAACAGCTAATGTAGAGTTCTTAATTGATTATGGTCAGCGTCATGTTTCAAACCGGTTCATGCAACGCCCAGAACAAGATTAGCATAATCAGCTCACAATCTTAGAGAGTCAGTTTGTGCCTCTTGGCTTCACATTCATATATCTGACAGGTGTATGCCTGTCTCTGTAAGTTGGACTGTCCTGAAAGGGGTATTCAGGTCTCTGTCAGTTGGACTGTCCTTACTCAGGTCTCTGTGAGTTGGACTGTTCTGAAAACGGTATTCATGTCTCTATAAGTTGGAAGGACCTGAAAGGGGTATTCAGGTCTCTCTTAAGGTTGACTGATCTAAAAGGAGTATTTCTGTCTAAGTTGGACTGTCCTGAAATGGGAATTCAAATCTCTGTAAATTGAATTGTCCGGAAAGGGGTATTCCTTTTTCTGTAAGTTGGACTGTCCTGAAAGGGGTATTCAAGTTTCTGTGAATTGGACTGTCCCAAAAGGGGTATTCATGTCTATGTAAGTTGGACTGTCCTGAAAGGGGTATTCAGGCCTCTGTACGTTTGACTCAGCAGAAAATAAGCATAACGATCTCAACCTAAACAAAGTTCATGTCTCACTTTGCAAGGCTTTCTATAGAAAACAAACGAGTGCTTCAATTGCTAAACACAGGACTTACATTAACTTACAACTGAAGAAGAGCTCACTCTTTGCATAACGTCAACTTTAAACCAAGCATACCACGTTAACGTATCGTTCAGTATTAGTTGAGCACAGTGAAGTGACAATCTGAGCCAAGTTCACAATTTACCGAGGACATGAATACATTTCAAACAAATCCAAGCATCGCTCAGTTCAAAATGAAACACATCAAGCAAGTATTCGGCCGAATACCGAATAGTGATTAGGTCCACTATTCGGCCCCGAAGCGAATACGAAGCGAATATTCGGTACAGCCCTAGTTATTATATCTTTTCCTAGATTCATGTCACTTTTCTCGGGAACTGCAAGAGGTTCCGGGTTCAATTCCCGGTAAGGTCTGGGATTTTTTCACGTGGACTTTGAATTCTAGTAATTCCCTCTGGTCTCTGGGTAGATCGGACGCCGGTGTGCGTTGTTGCGCACGTCAAAATCCATTGGCAGTTAGAAAACGAAAAAAAAGTAGCCTAACGGCTCTGCCTGGGCAAAATTTAGAGGTAAAAATCTACCCAAAGTATTTCAGAATTCTCGCCGGTGCTACAGAGCCTGTGCAATGTGCTGAGCTTCTTCGG